TATGCCCTCATTTTCATGTTTTTCACAGTGAATCACTGGGAAATCTCTGTCTACTGACTCGAAAGCTGCCTTTAAGTCAAGGAAAGCCACATACAATTTAGAATTTTCATGCTTAACCAGCTTCTTCAGGGCCAAGCAATGGCTGGTTATTGATCCAGGAATTAAGTTTAGTTAGTATCTGTTTTGCATAGAGTTTCCTAATTACTGATAATTGCTGGAGTTTTCTGGGAGATGAGGTCCCCCTTTTTAATAATACATGGGGGCAAGAATTGCATTGGTCCAGAATTTCGGCAAGATCCCAGTATTAGCTATAGCTTTGGGAAGCCCACCAGTCCGGTTCGCATTTCAGTAAGCCCGGTGGGACGGCATCGGGGGCCGGCTGCTTTTCCAGATTGTAACTGAATGATTAGATCTGGGTAGTGGTGACTGAACAGGAAGATCAGAGAGAAGAAAAGAGTGTAGAAGGTCTCATAGCTCTATCTTTGTCAAAAAGACCGTCAGAAAAATATTGGACCCATCTTGGGGGAGATATTATGGCCGGTTCATGTACTTCCAGCCTAGAGGAGCTGGCATGATGGCCCAAAAGAGTTTATTGGTTTTTTTTGGGTCACTGCCTGTTGGAGCTTGCTGCATTGCTCCAAAATAAATGTCTGCCTTTTTTTTCTTTTATACAATTCCTTAATTGAGTTTTTTGGGAGAGAGATTTGTGCCTAGCTTGCACAGTCAGTCTTCCTATATTCAACATATGAATGGCGGATTTGTACTTTCAGATCCCTTAATCAGAATCAAACTCAAGTTCTCTGTTTTGAGGGATTGCTGCACCTTTGGGCTGAAGGAGTTTGTCCTAATACACAGTGGAGATGTTCCATTAATTCATCAAATGCTTTGATATATAAAGCCCTAAACGGCTTAGGACCTGGTTACCTAAAGGACCTCCTTCCTCCATACGAGCCTGCCTGTCCTCTAAGATCAGGCCAGGAGGCCCTTCTGCAGGTGCCATTTCCTGAAAGAGGTGAGGGGAATGGGATGTTGAAATAGGGCCTTCTCGGCTCTTGCCCCCCAATTTTGGAATGCCCTTCCTATAGAGAGCCGCCAAGCTCCAACACTTTTGGCTTTTCAGACCTTTCTGTTTAGCCAGCATTTGAATTAAACAGTATTCTCTAGCTGGCCTCATGAGCAGAAGGACTTATTAATATTAATGTTTAAAGAATTGTTTTAATATATGATATTTTATATTGTCTATTTTAGTGTTTTCAATATTTTAAAATTTTAATATTGTTGTACGCCACCCAGAAGCCACTGTTAATCGTGCGGTTAAAAAAATGTAAATAAATAAATAAATGCGAGTAGAAAAATAGGTACCACCTCAGTGGGTAGGTAACAGCGTTCCATGTCTAAGTCGCACTAGTCTTGTGACCATGGAAACTGTCTATGGACAAACGCTAGCTCTATGGCTTGCAAACGGGGATGAGCACAACGCCCTAGAGTCAGACACGAGTGGACTAAATGTCAAGAGGAACATTTACTTTATGTCCATAGTGACATTCTCCAAGAGAGCTTTGGCTCCTGAACTGTTATATACAAATTCTGCCAAGTTGTGAATGTCTTCATGGTTTTCTGTCACCTCTACTGCTGGAAAAAGGCTCCTTCCCATTTGAGTCCCTGTTGACCATTTCCATGCCTCCGGAGAAAACCTCCTAGTGACATCTGAGGCTTGAGTAGAATAACTTGTATCTGATTTAATTCATTATTCAAGAAGGGCCATTCAGGCAGCAGAATCTTCTAGCTCTCCAGTTCTCAGATTCTATT